ATTAACTTTAAAAAAAATTGTAGATGGCAGTGTCAGAAAATCGAAAATCAAGTTCAATGTCTTGATTCAGAGATTTTAAATCTGATAAACTTAGTGCCGCATCATTTATTTTCAAGCTTGAAGAGTTATCTTGTGTGTGTAGGTTTTCTATTATCTACAGTTAAAATGCATTAAATATAGAAAATTAAACATTTATATTAATTGACTTTCATAAGGTGAACTGGAGGGATTATTTACCCGAGCTGATCTACCAAGAGAAGGGCAGCCTATATTGCTGCATTTGGTCTGGCTTCACTGGTTTTTCTTCTGTTATTGCCATTAGCCAATTTCAAAGTGGATGAGGCTGAAAGTTTGTAAATAGATTATTATCTGAAAGGTAATTTTATTTCTCTAGAAATGGCTTTATTATGTGTAGAAGAGTAAAAATGTAATTTGGACCCCTATCCAGATGCTCTTAGTCTAGTAGCAGAAAATGGTTTTACTTGTTAATTTGTCCTTCTAGAGTTTCTGTAGTCAATCTTTAAATAGAGCAATTTAGCATTTTGAGGAAAAACAAACTCAGCTCTATCCAAGAACATAATTGAAAATTACCCCGTACCCATGCACGATAATTACCTTTCAAAACATTTCCCAATGCTTGACATCATAGTGGTAATTGCTTAACAATATTATAATTTCATTACGTAGGGACTATAATGGCAAAATAATGTAGGTTGGGCTTTGAAAATTAAGTTACAATGAAACAAAACCTTTTATGTAAGCTTAAAGCACTTACTTCAGCAAAAAATTATACATAATCTCACCCAATTTTTGTATGAATGTCATCGTTGGTAGTTTTAAAATTCATCCATTTGAAGCTTTGGTACTAAGAAAACCACAAAACCTCTCTTAGTCCCGGTGGTTATAATGCGTGAGGGTCCCATTCTGTAGTGATGTGTATTGGAATGAATGCTTTTATATCGCAGTTATTGCTCCAGTTTGTATGCGTTTTGTAGCAAAACCTCTACTAATGAATTGGATCTACCTCGATCTCTTTGCAAATGGGTGATGAAGACCCATGGCCCATTACAATGGTGTTTTCATCTTGAAAGATGCCCGACTGGTTGTAAATATATTGTGTTTTCTCATTGAATAGCACCAGCTTAAAAATTTATTTTTTTGAAAAGTACAGGCACAGAATACACTAAATAATTATATAATATATAATCTTAAGTGCCAGAGGTCAGAGTTCCCCATGATGTGCTGATGGATTAAGACAGAATCAAATGGCAGGTCCCTGAGAGTTTGACTCATAATCATTTATCTCAATGATATGTGATTTAAACATTACACCTGATGGAAAAAAATAACTTTACTTTTGGAACATGCATGACTTTTGGTATAAGAACTGTTGTTTTATTTAAAGATGAATTTATCATAATGTTCTATGTAAAACTAATTGGGGGGCTTTCTATTTCTTTCAAATCCACTATGTTTCAAATACACTATTAAACAGACTCAGTTTTGGGGTAGGGAAGAAGGTATACATGCACATAACCCTTCTTGTGTCTGGTTCACATATCCTGTTTTCCATGATGATGGTGATAACATTTACTGAGTACTGAGTACCTACTATGTGTGTGCTGAGTGTCATTTAGTCCTCACAGGAATGATGACAGGTACTATTATTATCCATACTTTACATATGAGGAAGCTGGTGCTCAGAGCAGTGAATTTCCCAATATCCCACAGCTGTAATGTGGTAGAAACGGGATTTGGACTCGAGTCTGTCTGACTTCATTGTCTAACCATCATCCTTCCTGCCTCTATGAAGCCTTTCCCTCACACTTTAAGCTATATCAGTACTTCCATCCTGAGTTACTAAGAAAGTTATAACCAATAGCTCATTATTTATTTGATTATCATCCCTAATAGTAACTATCATTTATTAAACAACTACTATGTGTGCTGTGCTATGCATATTACTGGTGTCTAATTTCATCTTTCTCAAAACCCTACCAAATAGGCATTGTTATTTCCATTTTGTAGACAAAGAAACCAAGGTCCAATAAGGTGAAATGATCTATAGCCAGCTTTCAGGCAGTAAACAGCAGAGTTCCCATTCACCCCCAGTGGATTGGATTCTAGAGCCCTTAAGTGCACTTAGCAGTCAGCAATAGAGCCTTCCAGTTAACACCTCATTGATCTTTAGTAGCTGGTTTTTTTCATGTGTTTGTGTCACATTCACAACTAGATTGTGCCCAGCTCAATCACATAGCAGATACTAATTGATAAACTAATTTTCATTTCGTTCAAGTACTCCAAACTTTAAAGGCATAGTGGATTGACTATCTGAAAGTAAAGGATGTACATACTCTCCTTTGATGTGCAAAAAGTGATCTAAAGGGGGTCATTTTCAATGTGGAATGACCATTTAATGAGTACTCAGGGACTCCAAAGACAACAGAAGATAAAGGAAAGGCAGCCTGCCTTCTCTGAGCTCCTGTTCTTAAACTGTGCAGGTTGTTCAGGTCAGCTACCGCCATTAATGTGGTTTTTAGCAAAGTCCTTTCATACTTCCAAGATATAAACTGCTGTCACCCAGAGTCACAGAAGCTCATCTAAAACACTGCAGGGATCATTGGATCGGGTCCCCTGTCCTAAGCAGGGTTCATCTACAAAATCTGTACAATGGTTGCACCACTCTCTGCTTCACGCTTTTCAGAGTACATGTTTCATTTGCTGGTGAGCTCTAAATGCTTAGAAAATTTTTCCTTGCGCTAAGCCAAAAAAAAAAAAAAAGAAAAGAAAATGGCTCCTCTTAGGTCCACCTGTTGATCCTATTGCTTCCTCCTGGAACCCCAGATCTTATCTTCTCACTCATGTGCCACCTTTCATATGCCTGAATCCAGAAGGGCTGCTGTCACCTCACCAAACTTTCTTTCCTGGAGCTAACAAGCTCATTTCCTTTGGGCTTGTGGAACTATTTGCCTCTCTCCTACCCCAGGGACTCTCTCATCTTTAACAATATTTTTGAACTATGATAAATCAGATTTCTTTGTTTCCAAACCTAATTTATTAAAATGTAGGACACTTCTAAATTTTTTATTAGTCTTTTCTATGTCCAAATTCCTTTAATGTAGTAGCTCCCAATTAAACATGTTACACCACTCTTTTAGCAAAAACATCAAGGTCCAACCGAACAGACTGGTGCAAAGTACTTCTCTGACTGGTAGAAATAACACTGAACTCTGAGTCTGGAAACTGAGAGTTTGTGCCCAGCTCTGCCTGTCACTCACCAAGCAACCTCAGATGAGCTGTTCAACTTTGTGAAGCCTGGTTTCCTCATCTGTAAGATGGGCATGATAATTCCTGCCTGTTTCACAGGGTCATGAGGGCCAAATGAACTGCTGCATGAGAATGCTTTCTAAACTGTCACGGACTCTACCAGTTGAGGTATTAGCAAGCAAGGCAGATGTAATCATTCCTCAGTTGAACTCCACTCTTAAGGACTGCTAGCACTGCACTCAACTCACAAGAACCAGCTGGTTTCACATTTTACCTGCTTCTCTACACAGCCCATTAGAATAGGGACTGTTTCGTATCATCATGACCTGAGCACCTAGCTCAGTGCCCGGCTCATGGAAGGATCATGTTAAATGTGTTTTTGGATGGTTGGAAGAATGGGCAGAGGAATGGCTATGGTACAGTTTTAAACTCCGACTTCACTATCTAGGCACCACTTCCTTGGACTTATCTCCAGTTTGTCAATGCCCTGACAATGTTGAGGCACCAGCTTGGTCTGATTTTGGCTGGGTCAGATGAAACAGCACGACCACCAGCACCATCTTCCCTTCCTCTGGGCAGTGACACTTAAGATCATGGGCTTTTATTCACACCTTCAAGAAACATTCCATTTTTATTGAACCTCTATTATGAGTGAGCCCTGCACCATGCCCACCATCTAAACTCTTCTGAAGCTCAACCTGGTTAGCACATAGCCCAAAGCTTCACAGTGTGGTTTGGTTTGAGTTTGGTCTTTAATAGCCTGTGCTTGATTGTGAAGCTGAAGGCTAAAAAAGAAAAGAAAAAAACAGCTGTGCTACTGAAGAGAGGATTGTTGTCTTAGTCACCTCTTTCTCCTTGTGCCTACCCTCTGATCTCTGGCTGAGAAGATCTTGACCTCTCAGCCTCTGAACTCATTACATGAATTTTCAGAAGTACTCAGAATGCACTCACTTGTGAATACGAAAGTACTTGGCACAGCACTGGGCACATAAAAGGTACTCAGGAAACAGCTTTGTAAAAGTTTTTTTTTTTCATTTTATGCCATTTGTTGGAAGCCAGCAAGCCTTGATGATGACTTAGACAATAGGAGTCCTCTCTGTCCAATCCATCCAAATGGCTGCCACAAGAGAAAACATCAAGCCATGTTCATATCCCCAAAAAACTTAACAGACTTCCCCTCACCACTAATAAAACTACAAATTACCTGACATTTTGTTTTCTCTCTATATTGTCTGTTCTATATATCTGATAGTTCTATTATTTTAATTCATATTTGTTTGGTAGCCTTTTTAGGATGATTGAATGGGGATCAAGTTTTCTACTTTATTAGTTTGCACTGTTTTGCATTTTGTACAGCTCTGGCCCATGAAGAAGTTTGGAACTGTGACAATTAGTTTTGGATCCTGGCAAGCTTCCTAATTCTAATGAGCATAACTCTTAAGTCTTTTGGCCCTCTCCTTTTCTTCTTTCCCCTCCTACCAGTTCTTCACACTCAGTTTTTCTTGTCCTTTATCGTGAAATTGGTTCTTCTGGTCACTGGTGTTTCTTCTCCACCTAGCACCGCATGTGTAGAGTCTTACCACTTCCACAGTGCTCCTCCCTTCCGGCCTAAACCTTCTGCCTACATAAAGAAAATCCCCCAGGAGAGATGGTGCTTCCTGCTTCACTGCCCTTGTTTAGGAATTCCACGCCAAGCCAACAGCTAACATGTCTGTGGTTCCCCTTCCCCACAGGTGAAGAAGACCTCAGTGTGGAAGAGGACGAGGAAGTACTGACTTTGTTGTATGACCCTTGTCTGAACTGTTACTTTGACCCCCAAACTGGGAAATACTATGAGTTGGTATAATGCCTCCTTCCAGGGCAGAGAACAGGCACTCCCAGCTGGAGCAGGATAGCAGTTCAGGGTCTCTTAAGGAGTCACTACAACTTGTGTATTGGTGATCACAAAATCAACAGTAACTGAGAGAAACGAATTCATTTTGTAAATAATTCCTTTTATAGATGAGTATGATTTTGAAACTAAAGAAATTAATACAGAGGCAAGATTTTAGGACTTTGAATTGGTTCTTATTTGTTCTCATTACACATATAATTTTGATTGTTTCAGATAATTTTATGTAAACAAATTAAGAGTTATTCAAAATTTTTGCAGTGTTAATCTGTAAATGATGGCTTGATATACAGAAAATGTATTTTTGTTTGAAAGATGCCTGGGTACCTTTTATTCTATGACATTTGTATTAAAAATAAAGTATGATGGTTAGAAGAATAGCTTTTAAACTGCTTCTTTTCATTCACCCCACTTTGTTTTCCAGAATATTCCCATATGATACTTCCCTTCTCTTCAACTCTTAGAAAAGGAAACATTGTAAACTGGTCAGAGTTTATGATCACATTTTATTGGCACTGGCCCCACTATTTCCATTTCATTATAGTTCACCCAGAGTTTGCCAAAGATCACAGCATTGTTAATCACTTAAGCTGCTTAGCACTGTATTTTTCTTTTTTTTTTTT